AAACCGAAGGAAACCTCCGAGGAGGAGAAGAAGGAAGAGAAGAAACCCAAAGACGACTCGCCCAGACCACGACCTCTGCACAAGACTTTCTCCCTGTTCATGAGGAGCATCGCTCCCTCCATCTCCAAGGCTGAGATTATCGCTGTAAGTCAGAACAGCACAGACGTTGTTTATTGTCTGAGTCCTGATCATTGGTTGTTGTATGAACTCAGGATCTGCATTGTTTTTATTTTTACCCCACAGCTTTGCCGACGATATCCTGGGTTTCTGCGCGTTTGCCTCTCTGACCCTCATCCAGAGCGCAGGTTGGATTAAAGAACTATTCCTTCCTAATTTGTTGTTTGTATACCTTAAGCTTTTCCACGTTCGTTACTTTACGCACAATATTTATTGTGTTTTGATGGGATTTAAAGTATTGGACACAAAGTAGCACTTACTTTTAATGTGGTTGGAAAATGATGAATAATTTTTGTTTGATCTTTTTTATGATAAATCAAAATCTGAAAAGTGTGGTGTGCATTTACTTGGATACCTGTATATGAACAGAAGTCAAATACTAAATGGAGTCGTTCTTTGTGTAATTTATCACGGTTTAAAAAAAAGAGGAGAGAACTGGAGGCAGACAACGATCGCTGGATACAATGGAATAGTTTACAGCAAATTTATGAGTTAGAATGGTCCAGTCAAAGCAAATATCGGAGAAAGGACCAAATCAGTGGTGAGACTTGATAACAGATATTCACAGATGCTCTACATCAAGTCTGATTTTGGGCTGTGTTGCCTAGAAAAATATGTTGAAATTCCCCTGTAGGTGTTTCACGTTTTCACTTTGTAATTATTCACTCCTTTGTGTTGATCTGTCATATAAAATCTCAGTATAACACATCTGGAAAAACTTCCTGTTGCCTGGCACTTTATGAGGAGAGAAAATGGACACAGTTCTGCTCGATGTTTAAATCAAATCTGTGTTTTTCAGGTTTTTCCGGCGTTGCTGGGTGACCTTTGATCGCAGCGTCAACATCAAGGAAATCTGTTGGAACCTCCAGAATATACGCGTAGGTGTTGCCTTAAGTAATTCAAATCGTTTTGTGTTGCAAAATGACTGTATAAAATGACAGATTAGTTGTTTTTATATCATTTTCAAGCGATGTGTACGTCCGTGTCCTTTACCCAAAAAGCCTTCACTGCTTCCCTAAAGTTTGCTCCACTCTTCTTTCTTAAAAGCTCAGAGACTGCGAACTGGCACCAGGCGTGAACAGGGATCTGGCTCGGAGGGTCCGCAACGTGAACGGCATCACTCAGCACAAGCAGGTGCTCCGCAACGACATCAAGCTGGCTGCCAAGCTCATCCACGCTCTGGACGAAAAGGGCGATCTGTGGAGCAGCAAAACTCAGGGCGCTCAAAGCACCGAGGTTCCTGTTGCAAAGATTTTAATTTCTTTTCATACGCGAGCGAAGATTAATGCATGTTCTTCCCTCTGATGAGCTATTTTGATCTTTTTTTTTTTTTTTTTTTTAACGTGAAGTTGCAGGCTCAGAACCCCATCTTGAAGAATATCACTGATTACCTGATTGAGGAGGTGAGCGCTGAGGAAGAGGAGCTCCTGGGGTCTGGCAGTGGGATGGATCCAGATGAGGGCGCTAAGGAGGGAAATCCTGCTGAGATAACTGTGGAGAAGGATGATAAACTAGCCAAGGTTTGCTCTTTTTACACGTTTTATGGTAAAAAAAAAAATCTAAACTGATGTTTATTGAGCATACCTAGCTCAAACCGTAACTTAAAGCTTTACATGGATTACTTTTTTTTTTTTTTTTTTTTCCCGTAGGTTTTGGACCGGCTGCTCTTATATCTGCGGATTGTGCACTCAGTTGACTATTACAACACCTGCGAATACCCCAGTGAGGATGAAATGCCTAATCGCTGTGGGATGATCCATGTTCGCGGCCCAGTTCCTCCCAACCGCATAACGCACGGAGAAGGTCAGTGTGAAACCTGAAATACGCAGTCCTTTGTGAAACTGTGAGATAAATTCTTCCAGTGATTATTGTAATAAATGGTAATATTGTTGTTTTGAGACCATTTTCAAGTAAAATATTGATAAAGGTACATTGATGATGCAGGTTCTCCCTCCCAAAGACCAATAAATGTTAGTTGTGTAAAAAAAAAAAAACAAACAAAAAAAAAGTTTTCGGTGGAACTGGAAGATAAATAAATATCCAAACAAAAACAACAACAACAGATTAAATGGAAATAAACGTTTACGACTGAAACTATAATCAAAACAAATTCTGACCTTCAAAACACATTAATCATCAGGGTGGAAATGATCAAGTTTATTTTAATTCATCTTTGATTATTGCTTCTTGCCTATATGGAATTTCACTGTTTTCCAGTTCTGAACGCATAAAGAAAACAGTGAGGTATAATCATACTTTCAGACTTTCCATCCTTTTTAAAATTATCTACAATTCTCAAAAATATTTGTTCCTGACAGATTAAAGCTCAAAATATTAGCTTTTTTATTTATTTCGAACGTGAAAGAAGTATAAAATCACACATGAGCAAGGAATGAAAAACATATTTTTGTACCACAATAATCTTAACATACTTGAACAGGAGTAGGAAGAAGTCAGAAACTTATGAACTCTGACCTCATAAACTCATACCGTATTTTCAGATGTACTTTTACATTTTCAAGCCTGCTAACTGTAAAACATTAGGAGTTTGTGAATTTTTGGATTTATACATACAAAAGGGCTGAAAATTAACCAAGATATCGGGACATTTTGATTCTTGAACGGTGTGAAAATTTTAAATCGATGGAAACCAGGATCAATTGGAATGCGGGTATGATTGAACTGAAATGAGTCTTTTCTAAAAATCCTTGAGATAACATCTGTTGTGAATCGGCACTAAAATAACAGAAAAGAATTGAAATAAATGCTCTGGATCGACTTTTTATAACTGATGTGGTGTTTAACCACTAGATGTCGCCACATTCCTCACTGAAGAGCTTTAAAAGCCACAATGAATGTTTTCAGCGCAAAACAATCCAAATTGCTCTAACTAACCTCACATTTCTGCTTTGTCTGGTTATTTCCTTAAACAGTGCAACAGTGGGAAAAAGTGACGGAGGAAAAGTTGATGCCTTTATTTAGTTTAAAGGAAATCCTCTCTGAGGAAGAGGCAGCGAAGATGGGCCGCAAGGATCCCGACGAAGAGGTGGAGAAATTTATATCTGCAAACACTCAGGAGCTGGGAAAGGACAAATGGCTCTGCCCTCTTAGCGGCAAGAAATTCAAGGTGAACGCTTGGAAGATTTAGTTAAATGGCTTAAATGTTGCAATTTGATGTGTTTTTTTTTTTCACAACGCCAATTAGTGTAACCACATCGGTTTATGACATCTGTTTACTGCAAACTCTGCCTCAGGGTCCGGAGTTTGTACGGAAGCACATCCTGAACAAACACGGGGAGAAAATTGAAGAAGTTAAAAAGGAGGTCGTGTTTTTCAACAATTTCCTCATGGATGCTAAAAGACCGTCGCTGCCAGAGATGAAACTTCCACCTCTCCCTGTCCCTGGCCAAGGTCGGCATACATCTTGTTAACCCTTCATACCCGACAACTTCTGCTACAGTCACAACATTGGTCCATTGCGGTCTAAATATGAAAAATGAGCTGAGGTTCTAATTTCGTTCTGGTTTTGGTGAACAGGCTTGCTTTCTCCCACGCTGCCATTTCCTCCTCAAGGCCCTCAGGGTCCAATGGGCTTTGGTCAGCCTCGTCCACCTCTGATGGGCTACGGCGGTACGTCCTTACATCTTCTGGCACTGGGAACGATGCATCAGGGTAAAATTATGATTAATGTTTAAATTTCTTGTTGTTGGACAGGTGCTCCCCCTTACCCTCCTAATCAGTTTGGAGGAGGCAGAGGAAACTATGACAACTTCCGTGGAGGACAAGGTGGCTACCTGGGGAAGCCGCGAAACATCAGGTAAGACCACGACAGAGCTGATGTATATTTTGTTTTCAGAAAACTGAGGGATTTCCAAACTTTTGATTTAAGATCATGTAATTTTTTTTCGCAGAATGTCCCGGGGAGATCCACGAAATATAATTGAGTATCGTGACCTAGACGCCCCAGATGATATGGACTTCTTTTAGAAGGTTAAACTGTTTTTTTTTTGTTTTTTTTTGTTTTTTTTTTGTCCGAGCTCTTTCCATGTGTTCTGTTCTGCCTGTTTTTTTTTGTAGGAATTACAGTATTTACTTTCTTAAATATTTCATTTTGTGATCATTGTGTAATTCTATGAAACTCCTGTAAACTGATCATCAATAAAAGTGTGTTCAAACAACTTTTATACGTGCTATAAGTAAATTATCTAATGAGTCTGGAAGGGACGCAGATTCTGTTCCTATAACCGTTCAGAATGGTTGTACTTTTGTAAATAAGTACATCAGAAATGTACACATTTCAGTTCAGTTATGAAAAAATAAAAATTTTCACTGTAACAAAATAGTTTTCACTGTAACATGTGAAACATTTTCACTTGTTATAGTGAAACAAGTGAATAATCTAAATTATTTTGTATTTGTGTTTTTCGAAAATACAAATTCTTTTTTTGCATTTTCCAAAAAAATATATTTTTTAATCTTAATTGCCTGAATTTTGGTGCGTAGAAGCAACCACACTGCACAGTGCCACCACTGTTTACATTTTGATTCAATGTAATTATTAAATTAAAATCACTTTTTCAATTTTTGAGCTTAACTTTGCTTTTATCTGCAAATAATAAAATTGAAAAATAAGGCACAAACCACTGAATTTAAAAGAAAATTTGAACCTTGTGGCTCTTTTTTTTATTGTTATTCCAGCTATGTAGGTCAGGAGTAAATATAAGAAGCACAAATGTCAAATCATGTTGTAAATGTCATGCCCTATGCGACATTTCAGTAGGTCTCAGTGGTTTTCAGTCTTTTTAAAAAGTAGCACAGTCACATATTATCCTCACACTTTATTCAACATTACGATTTATTCAGATCAAATACCAAAGGAGATGATTTTACATGATTTCCGAGAACCGTCCTCGTGGCCTTTGAGGTAGATTTATGCGTAATGTAAGGCAACTGTTTACATCACATTAAATGAATAAAAGCTGAATTATTTCCCACATTAAAACCAAAACTAGCTTTAATGTGTATGATTATTGGAACAGCAGCATGAGAACAGCAGGCTGCACATAGAGGGCAGTGTTCAATAAGAACAAAATATTGTAATCATGAGCACAATGCTAAATAAATTGCACCGGGTTCTCTTTCTAAGTGTGCATCTTCTAGTTGTGCATCAACACTTAAAAAAAAAAAAAAAACATCCCACTGTTACTCTTAAAAGTGCCTTTTCTCTCATTTCCTTGTAATTATCCTCTGAAGTATTCGTTGTCTCAGCCCAGATCTGATCTCCACGCTCCTTTCTATGAAAAGCAGTGCAAAACATAAAGATGTTTTGGTGCGGAAAGTCTAAATGATTTCAAGCTTGTGGCTCTCAGAAAGTCCACAGCTGACTTTGTGTTCATGAAATAACTTGACCAAGGCCTCCATGTAGAGCGTGTGATAGTGATCAACCTGCTCCTCAGTCGGTGTGACGCACTTTGGCACCGGGATCGGACTTCCAACTGAACAGAAATGGAACAAAAAGAGCTCAGACTGTGTTGGCATCGGTGCTTATTATTTTGGTGAAACACTCACCGACAGTAGTGACCGGTTTCCTGAAGGGCAGCAGAGCAAAGCGCTCGCCGACGAATAGACACGGAGCAAAACCCATGACGTTTTTAAACAAGTCCTGCAGCCGGCGGCCCAGGCTGCCGTCTGAGAAAATCACCTGCTGAAAGAGTTCGTTCTCCCCAAACGAGTAAACGGGAACCAGATCTGCTCTGTGGAGAGTCGGCAGATATTACAGATGGTTTTCCCACTAAAGAAGTTGTGTTTTCACAGGTTTTTTTTTTTTTCCTGTGTGTGTTCTCACCCATGCTCAAGAGCCGTCCTCACAAACCCTTTCCTCTGCTTCATGACCACTCTGTTGATTCCAGGAGAAGATGCTAAAGACTCTGCAGCTCCTCCAACCACAATCACCACTGCGTTTCCTTTCCCACTTTTGGAGAGGAGGTGGACAAGGCTTGGCTTGCTGACCGGACACAGGCCTTCATGCACAAACAAAGCGAGGCTGTCAGCAGGTCATCTAACGGCAGCGAACGATTCAAGGTAAAGTTGAGCAGCATTTTTTTTTTTTCCCACAGTGACTCAAAAATCTACCGGGTTCTTGCAAGAGTATCTTGGCTCCTTGGACATTTGGTACCATAAGATTAAAAATAAGAATTTTATTGATATTTTGTGTGACAGAAAAACAAGTTAGCCTATAATTGTGAAGGGAAGGAAAATGGAAAATCTGAAAAGTGTGGTGTGCATTTGTAATGAGACGATACGTTGTAAAACTACCTTACTTACAACGATTGATGCAATTCTCTTTAGCTGTGTAAATCTGGAGAACGTTTTTTTTTTTTTGTGCCAAGCATTATTGGTTTAATCAACAATTTGAACACTGATTTGAAAGTGTCGCTACAGATTTCCAATTGACTTTGACTGGGCCACTTTATGCATGAATATGTTTGGATCCAAGGCACTCCTTTGTAACTCTGGCTGATGGAGAAGGAGGTGGAAAGGTGAATAATGTTCCCTGATCGAGTAAAATTTAATCATCAAACTCCATCCTGGGAAAGAAAAAAAAATCCCACAGCATGACACTGCCATCTCCTTGTATTACTTTATGCTGCTGGTTGCTGTTATGTAATAGATGTAGATACCTGCGCTCATCAGGTATTCTCTGAAGAGTGGTATCTTGAACAGGCCTGCCAGTATTGCCAGTGTGCTCTTCACTCCGGGAAACGTCTCGGCGAAGCCGCAGCTCTCGGTGCTGAAGCAGGCGAAGGCTCCGGCGCACATGATGCCGTGCGGATGGCTGCCGAGGATGTAGTTTTTATTTGGACTCAGGTCTGCTGTCTTTACCAGCTGGAAACCAAACAAAACAAGACAAAAAAAAAAGAAAATGTTTTTTCGCCGTTTCTCCGCAAGACCAAACTCACTTGAGTTGTATGTCTGACTGCATGGAAGTTAGGGGAAGTGATTCAAGCCAAGTGGAGAGATTTCACAGTGAGAGTTAATGAAAGTATTCTGATTAATGGCCACTGGGATGAATGCTCATTATAGGGACTTTTATCTGATAAATGTATCGTCATATCTGCTGCGATGGAGAGGCAGATAATCGCCAGGCTGGAGCTTTGTTATCATAATTAATATGCGCAGATTTCTCATCTCATAAAGGGGATTTTTGAGGGAATTTCTCTGAAAGAACTGGCATTTTGTTAAACATGTGCAAACCAACATTATGAAAATCAGGGATGGATTTTTTTTCCAAGTAAAAAACCAAACAAACAAACAAGTGATTCTTTCAATTTTGGCCCATATGATCTGAAGGTATTTTCTTCTAAATACTTTATTTTATGGGGATTTTTCCTCAAAAAATACCAAAAGAGAACATTTTTGAAACAAACTCTGTTTCATTTAATTCATCATCCATTCAGAGAAAATAAAAATTTTCTGAGATTTTTATAATTCTTTGAAGAAATATAGAAATCCCTCAGAGATTTAGTTTCCTGTCATGTTGAAACTCATTCAAAAACTGAACACTCTGAGCTTATAGAGTAAAGCTTTGGTGTCTCGACTCTGTTTGAAATGTTTTACACATGCAGACAAGCGTCAACCAAACATATTCGGTCGGGAAAAGCTATCTAGACCATATGCTGAACATATTAAACGTGGCAGTGCTGAATTAAACTCACCTTAACTGGAAAATACTCTCTGAACTGCAACCAAACCTTCCACTTCCTCACAAATGCTGTTCTTCTGCCCCCTGGTGGACATATGGAAAGTTGTTAGAGGCAGGACCAACGTAATTGAGACATTAGAAGTCTAGGAGTTGTGACAATACATATGTCAGAATAATTTAAGTGATTTAAAGTGAGCATACAGGCGAAAATGTAAAAAAATAAATAAATCTGGTCTGTCAGTTTAGGTGGACAGCCATGTTTTCAGATCTTACTCTAATTTCACACCCCTGGTGGCTTTTATTAACAATAATCAGGCAAAAAGTTAGTTTTGACCACAGGAGAGAAAACAGAATTTTTTTTTTATAAATTCCACAAACCCACGTCTATGATTTTTACCTCTTTCCGGAGTTTGCCAGTCATTCACCATCCATATGAAGTAAAGAGTGGGCAGCGGCCACAGAGACGTAAACATAAGATACACCATCAAGATAATGCAAGCCAGTCCTGCAGAAGCACAATAATCCAGCCATATTAGCTCCACTTGTTGGGCATTCTTTGTGAATGTCTTCATAAAGAGTCAGTAGCACAGTGCTGCTGCTGCTAGATGCAACAAAGAGTTAAAAAAGAGAGATTGTTTAAGATGGCCTTACCTAAGAACAGAAAGCTTAGCACCCACTGCAGGACGCTTACAGCCTCTAAAAACTCCTTCAGCTGGGTTTTTTCTTTCACCATTCTTGCGACCTAGAAGGTCAGAGCAATAATTTTCACCAATCGATAGCATTTTAAACTTGGCATGAATTCAATACGGTTTATGGGTCTTGGCACACCATATTTATGCTTGTAGGAATTAATTCAAGATAATAGAAAGTATAACAGATCTCTTTATGATCGAAAAATGATTTTCTTTTTTCTTTTTGGTAAACAGCAGCACAACTTGTGTACCCAGCCCTCCTTGAGGGACAAAATAAACTCCTGAATGGGTATGGCATTCAGCAGCCTGGTCAAATGACTCGCTCATGAATGAGCTAACAGGCAAACTCGCGCACGATTATTCATTTGCTCACAAATAAGGCTTTTACGAGTCGGGCCGGTCCGACCACAGAGGAGCCCTGGCTAGGTGCCAGCGTGGCAACGTAAAATACCTTTTATGAGCATTCTGCTTATAGCATAAAAGCCAGTACTTTACCTTACTGGAGTTTATTCCGAGGGTAATTTAAATGGATGAGTGTGCGGTGCTTCCAACCACAGTTCACCACGCTGCACTTTGACCTGATCACCTATTGTGAGGCTGCTGATAACAAATCCACTCCCCCCGACACTTTGACATGCACGCTGTTTCTGAGATAGAGACATTGCAGGGATTTATAGTTGGGTACTTTGCATTTTGGATCCTCAGAGCATCATCAGAGGCATGCACTGATTTTATGATTAGATTAGTGGTACTTTACTGTGTTTGGTCTCTCTGGCGAACACCCTATAGACCAAACAGGCGATCAAAAAGATTACATGGTAACCTATTCAATCCAAAAGAATCCCTGTCACTGTCAACATGCTGTTTTTCTCTAATCTTAAGCTAAGCCTGCTCTTCTTTTAGTAACATGTTACAAATAAGGCTTGCTCGGTGTGTCTTTCTTGTGTTTCTGGTTGCTCCTACCTGATTTTTTTCTAACGTAGGTATAATGAAACTCAGACCATCCAGCTGGTGTGTTCACAAATGATCAGGAATTACAGGAAGTGAAAGTTTTCCACCCACTGAAAGAAATGTAAAACTGAATGGAAGCCAACAGCGGGAAAACAAACTACGCCAGCATTATAAACACACTAATAATGTTCCAATAAGATTTATTCTTCAGACACGTGAATGTAGAAAATTGTATGCAAATGTGCTCCTTGTTCACATTTCCTGATATTTGTTCTTCATGTTAAGTTTCATGAATATGTACTTCCTGTTATCCTTACTGCTTAGTATGATCTACAGAAATCCAAAATTCTCCAGCTTTTAAAAGATATATTTTCATTGAGTTGTGCTCTTTGGGTGAGTTTGTTTTTCATTTCACTCTAAGTAAAGTCGAAATGCTCCTCTGCTCTGCCGCTGAATATCTTAACATCACTCTGTTCTCCTCTAAAGAAGGCTGTGATTATTTGAAGGCTGTGAATATTTTTGCATAAAATTCCTTTAGTTCCTCCACTGGGGTTTTCTTTAATGTTGTACCTCATTTTACCTTTCAATGTGTGCAATAATTTTTATTTATCTTCTTGTGTTCAACTGGAGAAGGCTGTGATCATGAGTTTGTCTTGTGAACCATCCCTGATATTTGACAGTTTCTCGATAACGCCAACGCTGTAAACTCTAACTTAAGACGGCTTCTAAGAGCAGAAAGTTGCTGTGAATTTATAGAAATGTTTTACAATCCATTATAAATCATATTCTTAGGCATCATGCTGGACAATATTAAACATGCTTGTGATGGCCAAATCCATGGCCACACTCTGAAGGCAGAAGTCGGTAACTCTTATGCACAATTTAGTTTTCATAATTTTTTTTTTTTCATTCAAATACAACACTTTAGTTTCAGTAAAACATTTATTAGTTGATTTGGATACATTTGTTCTTTATGTTAGCGCGCACATTTAGTTAGCACGTGTATTTATATCAACTTTAAAGTTTAATTTGTTTGCAACTAACTTTGTTGGTTTTTTGCCGGTACTTACCTGCCTTGGAGTGGCCAGACAAAAGATGGATGCCAGGGCTCAGCAGGCTTAAATGCTGATTGGACTGCACCACTAGTTCCTGCTGGCAGGGGAAATTTGTAGTTTCTTTATTTAGATAAGTTTTGTATTTAAGTAAATATTAGTATTTAAACTTTAATATTTTTGATTTTCATTTTTTGGGTTTTAGTTTAGCCAAACTTAGCTGTACTGTTAGTTGTTTTGTGTTATTTGTAATTGTATTCTGTTTAATTATCCCTATTGTGTCTTAATTGGTCTGATCAGCCAGTATATAAACCCCTGTGTGTCATTTCTTTGTTAGGTCAGTTATGTTTGTTTGTGCAGCCAGTTTGTTTACATTTTTTGCCTGAGTTCAGTTTTGTTTCTTTGACCTCTTATGAGCTCAGTTTATCCTTTGTCATTTATAATCTTTGGGTTAAAATAAAAAACCCTATTTTTCTAATTAATATCCTGTGACTCCTTCTGTTTTTTAACTCTGTCCATCACAATGCTGCTGTAAAGGCGTAAACAGATGTCCTTTTATTCATGAGTGACTACTCTCACCCGGAGGGACATGGGGGTCCAAGCACAGATTTTATGCGTAATTTTCATTTACCTCCATCCATACATACGTTGTGTTCTGGCTAAATATCCCGTCATTGTTCGTACAGGAAATAGCAGAAATTATTTCTGTAAGCTAGATCCAGCTGTTGTTGACTATGTTTCACACTTTTTCAGTGAAATTGGGGCGGGGCTTTGGTGAGGCCAGTCAGGAAGTCATCGTTATTTACACTGATTTAACATCCTGTTGTGTTCGAGTTTCAACCATCAGCATAAGCCTGAGGCTTGTCGACGGCTGGGGCAGCTCAGCTTGCTAAGGGTTAATTAGTTGGGTTGTATTTTGATCCCATATTTAAAAAAAAAAAAATTTAAAATATGGAATCGATTTCAAAGACAGTTGAAATAAATCATTAACGGAGATGACAACCTGGAAACTTCTGACTGACAACTGGGGTCGATTTAGCTCATTGATTGGTTCGTGTTTCAGGAAAAGCTTATCTACATCCAGTCTGACATTTTATCATGTTACAACCACAAAGTTCAATCTTACTTCATAAGTCAGTATAGACGGATGCATGGGTCATGTGCAGTTTTATTGTTAAAGCCAATACTTTTAATTGTAATCTCTTCTGATCTCAGCACTTTTTTTTGCACTGCCTCCCACTTGTGGTGAACTGCAAGCAGGACTTTCTTTTGCTTTCTTTTAACAGTGGGTTTGTTTCTGAACCACTTCCGCATTCGTGAAGCTTAGAGGTATAGTTGTGAGTTTAGTTACCATCAACGTCTGGCTACTTCTCACATCGTGCTTTTATGTCAAGATTTCAGCTCTGAAAAAAATGAAGGGTCCACTGAACCCCATTGAAAACCTCCCGGTTATTCCACCAAATGTTGATTTCTGAACTCTTCCTGAGTTAAAACATTAGTACTGTTGTTTCTAAATGAATATGAGCTTGTTTTCTTTGCATTATTTTTTGTTAGTTTGACCGTTTCTGATTTAAATCCTAAATTTTTTCTTGGAATTTCGGAAACATGTTGTCAGCAGTTCATAGAATAAAAGAACAATGTTCCTTTTACTCAAACATAAACCTATAAAGAGTAACATCAGAGAAACTGATCATTTTAAGTGGTCTCTTACTTCTTTTCTAGAGCTGTATATTTGACCCTTATTTTCACACCACGTGACGTCAGTGATGGTCCACCCAAAATTATAATTTGTAACAATACTCATTTATTTTATTTATGTTTTTCCACGAAGCACAGAGTTTAATATAAGTGCAGAAACACGTCTGATGAATCCGCCGCTATTATTAGTAGAAAAACAGCAGCATCTCCCCACAGCTGGACCCAGTGCCCCCTCTGACGCTTCCCCCCCCCCCCCTCCTTCCAAAAACACAAGCAGTCGTCTGCTCTGAGGAAGTAGCCCCGCTGCATGAATATTAATATAAATGCAAATGCACGGTGAGGATGCCCAGCGCCTCAGCCAACGCAGCGCGCTGATGTCTGCGCATTTTTGTTTTGACGTTTTTATTTACCCCTCTCATCTTCCTCCTCCTCCTCCTCCTCCTCCTCTTCCTTCTCCTCTTCCTCTCTGAACCGTCTGAACTGAACTGGAAGCATGGCTCCTTTTCCCTCGGAGTTGTCGGAGCCTCGCCGAGGATCTGTTTGTGTACCTTCGCACTGAAGCGGCATCATGGGCTGCGCGCAGACCGCACACCGGCCAGCCTCCGCCGCGCCTCGGCTCCAGTAGAATACACACAGCGCGGTGTTTGTTATGAAAATGGAAGAGGTTTCACGTCAGGAAAAGGCGTCAGTCCGGTGATCCGCGTCTGAATTTCGGATTTTTCGTCCCCGCGTCAATTGACACATCTGCGATTGGATTTTCTCCCTTTCCCCCCTGTCGCTTCTGTCTGCCAAGACAGCTGTGTCATCAACAACCGGCGTGGTTTTGTTGTTGTCTGATTTTTATTTTTTTTTTTAACTCCCCACTCTTACGAGTCTGGGCAACTGGATAGAGCCTCTGCGCCAACCAGATCCTGACCTCTCCCAGGTATGTATCACACCTTTATTATACTACCAAGGCCCGTGTTTTGCTCCGTAAATCACCGCATCACCTAACCCACATAGCCAGCTGTCAGCGTCCAAATGCGCCGTCCGTGTGTGTACCTTAAGCGGAGGAGAATTTGTGGCTGGATGGCGCAGAGACGTCGGGCCTAATTGGTGATTTTTTTTAAAAAAAAAAATTTGTTATTATTTTTTTTCACGCGTAAATTTGAGAATCCGGGGCTGACAGCGAGCCCGATGTGTGCTCACAAGCCGGATTTTTCAACCTTGAGGACTCGCAGCCTCTGTCGGTAGAGATACGGGGCCTTTATTTCTTGACAACAGAGGGAAGATGTGCCAGCATGATCCCCGCGCAGCGCTTTTTTTTTTTTGGGGGGGGGGGGGGGGGGGTTTGGGGGGGAAAACCCCTTTTTTTTTTTTCCCAAAAAAA